CCTATAGTAGTCCCTTATAGAATCCCCCATATGACCCCCTTTAAGGAGTTTAGACTATGGCTCATATAAGGCATTCTCCTGAATCCTGGTTCAAGGCTCCCTCCGAAACAGGCCCTACACACAAAACCCAATCAATAAATCCCACACCCTTATTCCTAAACTGAACCCTAAACTCTAAACCCCGATCCCTGAACCCTAAACCTTAAAACCTAAACTCTAAACCCTAAATCCTGAAGGAAGTGCTTCAAGGCTTCAAAGGCTCTGAGGGTAAGGCTTGGGTTGGTCTTTAAGATGGGGCGTCCTTTTGTTCAGGCCCGACTTTTTAAAAGGATAATATGGGGATTTCCCAAAATTAGGGTACTATTTTGGGGTGACGATAATAAGGATTATACTATTTTGGGGTCTATATTGGGGTCCCCCTATTTTGGGAAACTACAATATAGAGCTATGTAGGGATTATACAGGGTTCAGGGCTTCGGGGAAAAAACCAATGAGGGATTAAGCCCGACTCTTAAAACGGGCCTTGCATCGCTTCCAGTGCTTGGGGCTTTTGGGCTTACGGTCTCTTAGGGTTTGAGGGTTGTTTAAGGTTGCGTTAGGGTTTAGGGTTTCAGGGTAAATCAGGGTTTCAAGGTTTGAGTGTTTCAGGAAAGTCCCATGCGGGGACTGTCAGACGAGGAACTTGGATATGACTTGCCCTGTGTTAACAGGAGCTGGCATGAATGCAATGAGAACCCCAATTGCCGATGCAATCAGCCTGACAAAAAGCAGCAATCAATGAACACTGCGTTAGAAATCTGTGACAAGTCTGATTGGAGTGCGTCCTTCACATTTGGCCTAGTCCAAACCTTTCATGCCCAGCTGCCTGCTGCTGAAAGCAGGGAAACCACCGGCCGCATCCGCGCAGGAGCAAAGCAGCACGAAGCTCCAAAAAGTCATGAAGCTCGAATTAGAGTAGCGTAGGCTTAAGGAGGTCACTGGAGGTTTAGCGGTGAGCCCTTATTGCTTGAGGTCTACGCTGGAGGATCTGAGAATGTGCACATAAAAGCCATGTCGGTTAGTGCACTGCTATTTGTCCAACGGCATACCTTACGTCGTGCTTCAAGGATTTGGATTGGGGTTGCTGCGGGGTGCTGTTCTGCACTGGCTTTGCGGCAATCACATCTCAAGCAATTTCCCGAGAAAATAAAATAACTCCTGTCACATTCCCACGTCACGACAACGAGGCTTCTGACCTGTTCACGACACGTCGAGGTGGCGACTTCTTACAAAGGGCCGACCATTATATAATGAGGAGGGGGCTTTGCCCACAAAACAAGACCTCCTCAAAAATAGCTTTAGGGTTTAGAATTTTTAGGGTTTAGGGAAGTTCAAACACGCCATGCTGCTGCCATTGTAGGATATCTCATCAAGTTTTCAAGCAGTCGACCCTAAAACAAACCTCATGCGCATCTGCCACAAAAAGGGCGAGTTATCCTTAGTACTGCTGATACTACGAGACCCCCATGATCTCTGTCCCTGAGCCCTAAACCCGACACCCTGAACCCTAATCCTATGGTTGTTTCCATGTCATTTTCCATTTTCTTTCCCTTTGATTTTCCATAATCGGGGTATATGTATACATATATAACCCTAAACCCTATTACCTATAATACTACAACTCCCGTGAAGGAATTTCAGTATAAACCCTGAGAGTGCTCACGATGAACATGCCTTGCCATCATGTTATTTTTAGGGTTTATGTTTTGGGTTTTAGGGTTTGGGATTTAGGGTTTAGGGTTTAGGTTTTGGGTTTTCGTGCTTGGGGTTTAGGGTTTAGGTGATGTATTCGCTGGCTAAGTTAATGCAGGCGCCATTGCCTAATCATCTCTGAGAGGAAACTTCTCTCATATATCTCTGCTTCATGTTCGGCAACTACACCGTTAGCTCCAGAGCCTGGATCTGGAGCCTTCTTTGAATTCTGCTGGCATTTTAATCTCCTGGACAGCCATTTTTCACCTGCTCGCCATCCACACCTCTGGGCACCTAAACTCACTTGGGGCGACTGAAGGCTACGTAAGTTAGGGAGAACCAAGTTGTAGTAGAGCAAGTGCCAGTTGGGGAACCAATCGTACACCCTGAACGAAGCCTGAACAAAAGTCCATGCTCGCTGCAACTTCGGGACTGCCCGGCCCCAAGCTACGCGGTTTAGGGTTTAGGGTTTAGGGTTTAGGGGGTTTAGGGTTAAGGGCCCCAGAAGCTACAAATATCAAGGTGCCCCATACAATTATCATACAAGGAATATGGGACAATGATATTGGTAATTCTCCCTGCCCAAATGCGGAGTAAATCCAGCTTCCATCTTGTTCTAAATTGTCTGTTCCTTTTCATTCTTCATTATTGGTGCAATATCCCTAGACCGTACTACCGTACATTCATAATCCCTACATAACCCCAATATATCCCCTATTATGTACGCTTCGACATCATCCTGACCGAGGTGCTGGAGAAACTCGTTGCGCCTGATCCTACCAGATTTGTCTCCTCAGCCAGGATTTAGGGTTTAGGGTTCAGGGGGTTTAGGGTTTAGGGTTTAGGGTTTCGCAATGGGCCATACAGCTTTCTGAGGTTTTAGGTATAAGGGCAATGCCCCTATAATTTAGGGTTCCCCAAACCCTAAACCTCAAACCCCTACACCTAGGCTTTAAAAAGGTTAGGGTTTAAGGCTAAGGCTTGAAGAGCTACAGCTTCTGTACTGCCCCTACTGAATGCCTTCAAACAAATATTGAACACCCCCCCATACCGCAAAGGGCTAATCAAGCGCATATACGGGAACAGAAAAGTAAATGGAAGACTTCAACATAATCAGGGTGTAGGGCTAACGGCCAACATCAGACACCATCCCTCGTGTTAAATATCTCCCGGAATGTGAGTGGTCTATTATGGGACAAATTGGACGTCAGGGGTGTTTGATGTTAGTATGAAGGGAATAACCTTTACATAGGGGACCCATGTCAAAGTTAGGTATAATATTGCGACAGCTGCAATGTTGAGGGGATCTATGGGGGACGACATGGAGACTTTCAAGACTGCGCCATCTTGCTTCTAGTAGACTAGAAACCTGCAATGACAAGAAATGGGCGCTGCCATAAACCAGCCTTGGCAGAAAGTCCCACGCAGTGGCAATCATGATAAGGATACTGGCCCTGCCAATACTTCTGGTGCTTGCTGCGGCAAGGTGCGAATACGAAGCTTATGACATGCGCAGGCCTCTGCTGTTCGGATGCATGTAGATGCGCGGCTGCGTATCGGGAAAGGCGCCCAATGTGTAGCAGCACCAACCGTACAATGGCAGCACCACAAATGAGAGAAAATAAAACCCACAAGCAAGTGTGAAAATCAAAGCCATGTGCTTTGCGGCAGAGCTGCTGTCAATCTTATTGAAGAGCTCCCTCGAAACCAGAATTCCTCTGCGTCTCCGCAAATGAAAATTTCTCAAAACAGGGGTACGGCCCACCACAGATAGAATGGTACTACGTATATTGAGGTTCTTGTTAATTCGGGGGATTTCAGGGGTAGCTTGCTGGCCCAATCGCCATGACACTCTCACGGCGTTTTCTTGTCTAATCGCTGTTGAGGGCCTCATATATTGTAAGCATGCCTATGGCCGTGACGCGGTTCATAACAAAACTCCAGCATGACCCTCTCCTAAAGATGCCTGACTTGCTCGGGAGTGAAGTACTGAGGGAGGGGTTTCCCAAAATTAGGGGTACCTCTACAGGGGGATATAGGGGTTATATAGGGGTTATATAGGGTTTAGGGTGTAGGGGGGTTTCCCAAAATTAGGGGTAGTAACCTGGCAAGCCTTCCTAGGCTTTGTTTTATGGAGTTACTCGGATTTTCTGTT